ATGATAACATCACAGGACTCCAAGACCTGACAGAGTATAGATAGAAGCGGCACAGGTGGCCTGAATGACCTCCTGAAGTCTTTTAGGTGGAAGTGATGAAGCCAGAAGCAGTTCCAGGGTGGGTTTTTGGTGGTGGTGTGGATTCTTTTTTCTGGCTTTTTTGTTCTGTCCTCCTACTTAGGGATTTTCCTACAGGGAAATCTGTTTGTGACAAACACTGGAGCTAGACTAACGTGAGGCTTGTGGAGGCCTTAGGCGCAGTGTTTCCTGGGGAAACACTTCAGTCCTGCACAGCATGAGGGAGATATCTTTCGTCCGCTTGCATTAACCAGTAGCCTCCATTCAGCTGGACATCCATTTTGACAACTGAGTCCCATGAAAGTGTGGGAAGAGAGATGCTTCCATGTTTTCCTTCCACATGGCATGTAGGGTTTGATGATAGAGGATGGCTTATCTGTTAATCATAATCATAACAACTTCTGATAGTCTTAGCCTCCCGGACTAATGTTTTTGGACAGCACTATTTATAAGCTGAAGTCTTAAGAAGCTCAGAAATTTAATCTTTGTTTACTTTCTAGAGGGCATCAGTTAAGGACCAGGCAACCAACTGAAGTGTGATTTGCAGGGAGGAGCATGGACACATTCACCCGTAAGAGTAAGTGCTTTGACTTGGCTTGTCAAATGCTGCTCAGACCTGAGTTATCCAGGCACACGTGACTGAGCCCTCTGGAGGATGGGGGTTTGCGCGTTGGCACATCTCATCACCTGAAAAGCTACAAACATCCCTTTTGCTTGGATGAAGCTCTGCCACGGTTAGACTTCTGTTGAAGGTGCTGTCGTCGACTTCAGTGCTAACTCAACCGGGTCAACCTCATTACTACAGAAACTCTACATATTTTTAATATTTTATTTGAAATAAAATTGGTTTCCTAGCACTGCAAGCCATATTTAATCTAGTAGTATGATTCATGTATACCGTGTCAGTATTACTTCTCTTGCTTCCTGCCACACTTAGCTGTCCAGTTTTACAGCGGAGAGAAATCGACAGTAAAATTAGCTAGTGGCCCCAATAAGAGGCAAGTGGTGCAAGACCATTAACTGATGGAATAGCAGGGCTTGGCTGTCCTTAAAATGCCACAGACTGATAAATGGATGTTATGCCCAAAAGATGTTCTCACTTAGCCTTTTCATTTTAATTTAAATTGATGGGAATGCAAATAACTAAGATACTCTCAGTCTGCATAGGCGAGGCAATATAGCTCTATGAGAGTTTAGGGAAAATGCTACACGAGGCGGTCAGCTGCTTCTTTTCAGTTGAAGTGCTCTGTCAATGGCAGTTACATGTCACGTCTGAATCTCTGAAGACAGCTCAATTGCCTGTAATTTCCAAAGTGATTTTGTCTGTTGGAAAATGTTTTGTTACATCAGAGGCCTCTAGTGCATGGTCAAGGAACCACAAGTTAAGTAAGAGGTCAGGTAGAAGAAAAATAAATATGAGCACTGTGAATCGAAGCTTGTCTCCGGATGACAAAGATCTTGAAGGCAAGCAGCATGGTATTCACTCAGTGAGGGAGGGGAAAGAGCTTCCACATGGACACTGAAATCTATGTTTGGCAGCTATTAATAATTTATTTTTTTAGTAATCAGTTGTCACCCACTTCCATACTTTGGTAAAAGCCTCATTTCAACTTGCTCATAATTTCAGCTTCCAAAAAATTAAAGAAACAGCTATTGTGTGCTGATTCTGTCTCCTATGATGCAAGACATGTATCCAGAATATTAATGACTTGCTTGTGTGTATGTAGATCTTAGCAGACTATTAATACTATGCCAGTTATTATTAGTATGTGTTTATCAAAGGTATAGATACTTGACCTTCTCTGAGTTCAAAGTAAAGCTGAACTATAAATTCACCTGGGTTATTGGGAAGGACAGCCAAAACCTTTTCTTCCTCTGTTGGAAGTAATCTTGACTGTAATTGGAAGAAATTATTAATGGGACAAAATATGCAATCATACAGTGTTAGTCTGTGTCAGCTCTGAAAATCAGTTAAGAATCTTTATGAATGCTTTCTCAAATGTGATCATAAATCATCCCCTAAACCCTTGTTTAGTACATTGCTTGAGTTCTAATTAAAGAAAAACAGGTAGAAGCAACGTGCAAGAGAATTCTTATAGGTACTAAAGCCAGGTTTTAATAGAATTAACTTTGCTTTGTGTATGGACTCTTCATCCCCCCCGCCATGTTTTCGTGTAACTTGTTAGACATTGCTGCTTAGCAAAGGGAGATTTTGAAATACCAGCAAACTCTGTCACTTTTGATGTTCAGTTTGGAAAAAATGTCCTGCTGAGATTTGTAGCTCTCTAGAGTACCCTGATGTGTTAGTGCGCTGATGCTGACAAACTGGTTCTAGGCTCCTATCAGCTAGAGGAGTAAGAAAGACTGACTCTGACCTGATCATGACGACAGCTTTGGTCAGATTTCTATCGAATGTTTCATAGAAGATAGGCTTGATAAAATAATTGCCTCTTTTCTGTCTGTACCCAGTGGTGAAAATGTGATTTATCTTCTTTGTTTTGAGTTCTTCTCTGTCACCATTGTGTATAGACTGAGTGCAGAAAGCGAACTTGGATTTATATACCTAGTTTCTAGACAGTCTGAGACAGGTGAGACGAACTCTACCTCTGCTCCTGTTTGCATGTGGGTCTCAGGGAGAGAAGGAACAGAAAAACAGATTGCCAGACAGATCTGTGTGGGAAAACTACAGCCCTAAGAGAGAATGATGTGAGTGAAACCAAGAGTCACTGTCATTGGTAGTGCAACAATGTCGTGGGTTACACCTGGCTATCACTTAAACCCCCACCCATCTGCTCAGCCCCTTCTTCTCCTCCATGGCAGGATGAAGGGAGAAAATAGGAGGAATAGGAAGAAGAGAAAAATAATGACTTGAGATGAAGACAGGGAGGTTACTTGCCAATCACTGTCACAAGCAAAATGGACTCAACTTGTGGAAAATTGACTTAATTTATTGCTAACTGAAATAAAAATCTAACTACTAATTTGGGTAGTGGGAAACAAAAGGGCAGACATCGAAAAAACACTGTTCCTCCCCTCTTCCTCAGGTGCAACTTAATTTCTTCACTGGCTACTCGTACTTATTTGTCGCACTCCACCCTCAAACCCCTGAGCAGCAAAATGGGGATAAGGCGTTATGGTCAGTATAGCGTGGATTCTCTCTGTGGCCACTACTTTCTTACTTTTTCCCTCTGCTTCAGCATGGGCTTTCCCTGGGCTGCAGTCCTTCAGGAACACCCTTCTGCTCCAGCAAGGATGTCCACGGGCTGCAGCGTGCATCTCTGCTCTGCCACATGGAGGACTTCCTCCTCCCTCTCCACAATTTTATTTTTTGCTTCATTTATTTCACACAAAAGATTGACATGAACCTTAGGTATGTGAAACATGCATAGTAATGTTATTTATCTTGTTGAAAGAATGGAAATAACTTCCACCTCAGCCTTTCTGTGTAATCTAGAGAAAATAGTATATAATTTTCTTACTAGGTTGAAAGCACATACTTAATACTATACCTTTTGCTTGACTCTTGTTGCTACTTCAATAACAAACATAGTGGTTATTTCTATCTTCTCAGGAGAAAATATGTGAAGTCAAATAGCTGAAGAAAAGTGAAATCTGGAGATAGGTTTGCTTCCTCAGAGCATAAGGGACTTAATATATGGGCAAAAGACTACAATGCTGAGAGAGGTAGACTATTACGTGCAATGCTCTTTTAATCAGTGGGCTAAGTTCTGAAGTATCATTTCCATCACAGTAACTCCCTGTGCACAGGATAGTGGAAGGGGGTGGGGAATAACACGAACACTTTAAGAGAACATGGTAGTCTGCAAAAATTTAAGTGTAATAGAAGGCGAGAGTTGGAAGTAATTATATATAATAATATGGAATAAATTAGTAGATTTACCTACTCTACTCGAGCATAATAAGGCCAAGAGCATAAAGTATCGCTTCACATGGTTAAATACCTTGCAGTTCTGAACAAATAACAATGTCTGAGGACATAAATACTGTGCTTCAGGGCATGACCCGAAGACTAACATGCAAACAAGAAATATTTTTGTTTACAAATACATTATGTAACTGTAGCATTTTTTGTGCTGTTTCTGAATTAATCTCCTGCTGGTTATATCAATCAAATGTAGATCATGCCTGGAGGTTGCTTGTTATGAGGTCTGGCTATATCTTTTCTATTCCATACTTATACACTGATAAAGTTTTTGCAATTGTTAGTCTAGGTTTTGTATCTTAAAAGATAAACGAATAAAATATGTATTTTTTTTAAAAGGCTGGTATTTCTCCTGTGCTATTTCTAAGCTGACCCAAGGAAGGCATTGAGACTGTTAATCACTTAAAAGTAAAGACAGCTCTCCAGTCAGCATCCATTGAGTATAGTACTGTTGCACATCCTCCATAAATATTTAATTACCAAAGAAAATAGGATGGAACTGTTATGGTACAAATGACTTCCTGCATCTGATTACGAAAAAGATTCTCAGTTTGAAGCTTAATCTATTTTAACAATACAAAATAGGTTGCCTGAAGTACCTTATTTCTCAGTTACAATAAAATAACCAAATCTGAGGGTTCAAAAGGTATGTTACAAAATTCTAGAAAGGAGTCTAATGCTCTATGCTATCAATGGATATCTTTTTGCAGCACTCTTACTCAAGCTGCTTAAATTTTCCTTCTAGTTGCATGATTTTGCTCTCATATTTACATGTTACTTTATACTTTTCTTGTTTATGGCAACTAATTTTGTGACATTTAAATGATATGTAGATTTTAGCACTGTAATTTTGTTTTATCAAGTTGGATTCTAATTCAGCTTAAAAAGAGTAGCAAAAGTCTGTTTATTCAGTCTGACTTTGATGTCTCAAGTTACTTGATAGCATCCTTCTAATATTCACAAAAGAGAAACAGGGCAGATGAGATTACAATTGGAAACTCATCAAAGTAAATTGATGCCTCTCTTGGTCCAGGACTTTGCTTTTAGCTGTCTTCAGCTTCGGAAGTAGGAGTAGTGCCTGGGAAAAGGTGCAAGGTTGTTGGATTTTTGTTTGTGGGTTGTTGGGGTTTTTTTGGTGGTGGTGTGTGTTTGGTTGTTTGTTTTTTTTGGTTTTTTTTTAATCTGGGACAAGCAATAAAATTAATTCTGCTGGAATGGATGAAAAAAATGATCACCCAGCAGCTAAACCTGAGGATGAACTAAGTGTAAGTAGGTGACTTAAGCATTCTTGTTTTCATACACGTCTTGACATTGTTAGATCTTTTGTGATCTAATTCTCAAATATTAATCTTAACACATCAGTTGATTTTTTATAACCTTATTTTATAACTCAGTCTGAAAATGTCAATATATATTTGTATATCTTCAGATTTGCTAGTAACGAGTATTTTCAGACAACTGAAATAATGGGAATAACAGTGTATTGGTGTCATGGCGGCACTTTTTTCCAAAAAGAAACCAACTGCTAGGCAGGAAAGGCATCTTTAAAGTAGGTAAAGTGTTTTGTTTTTCCCTGAGAAGATACAGAAGTGGTTTATTGCATGAGCATTAACTCATTACAAAGAAGTAATTAAATAATTTAGTGTGTGGTGATAGTCAAATTGCAATTTTAGCTGGAAGCCAGTTCTAGAGTACAAGAAATAAGTTACAGTAGAGAGGAAGAGTTGTGGTCCTTATTGAGGGAAGGAATCTGCTTAACTTTGCCTTTGTTTTTTGTACTGTGAAGTATTTATGGTAAACTAATGTACCTTGGGGAAATATTTAAAACACAGAGCATAGCATTCAATTTTCATATCAATTCTGTGTAACAGAACTTTGCCTGTGTGACAGAACCCTTGATTCATGAACTGCATTTTTAAAAGTAAGGTTAGAATTCTGATGGATGCAATGAAGACATTAGTTTTTGAAAGTACATACTTATAGTCCAGTTACATCAGTCCTGAGCAATGATCTTTAACAATCCTTGACAAGAACTTTGTAATTAATTTGTAAGAATAAGTCTGTCCAGTTAGATCTAGTTATAAAGATAAATGCCATGGGAAAACTTAAATATAAAATGTTATTGGGGGAAGCCTTATGAAAGTAGCAACTGTCCCTAATTGATCCATTGAACTGAACATTCATGGGATTGTCTCAAGTTGTTCAACTGAACATGTAAGTGTATAAGGGACATTTACATGACAGATCAGAGCTTTAAATAAATAGGCAATTTGTTTTCCATCCTTACACAGAACTGGACTTGATAAACTTTTTGCACAACAAGTGCAGTTAACTCCCTAGATATGAGCCCAAAATCTCCAAATTCAGTGTTTTCACATTTGAGAAAAGTGTAAAGGGTACTACTAGGTCTTATTACTCTATTTTTACTTATTGCTTATTTTCTTCTCATCTTTGAACATCTGCAACTCTGAAGTCAAAGCTTGCCAACTGTTGTATTTGACTATGGGACTGGCAGGATATTTGTGACTGTGTTGCCTGTTCTCTCTTTGTGAGGATACATCATGTTTTGAATATCTCCAAGGATGAAGGTTTCCTGACATCTCTGGGCATGGTTCAGGCACATGACCCTCATGATTAAAATAAATTTTTTTTCTTTTCTCTGCTGCCTCCTTCTCCTCCCTCATCCCTCAGCTGACATTTCCCCTCCTGTCACGTGTGACTGTTGTGGCTGTCTCTTCAATGTGCATCAGTGACAAAAGTGTGTCTCTGTCTTCTCTAACCCACCCTAAGAAGCAAAATCTGTAACTAGGTTTACTCACACTGTCTTTGCCTTCTTGTCTCCAGCTGAACAACCCCAGGGCTCTCAACTTTTTGCTGTACATAATATTCTCCAGCCACTTGCCTCTTGGTGACTCGCTCCTGGAATCACTCCAGTTTATCATCATCTCTGCTGACAGGCCCAAAACTGGACACAGTACTAGAGGTGTAGTTCTACTAGTGTTGGTCAGAAGAAAACAAGCACTTATTGCAGATTATTTTACAGCACTATTTTTTGCAAAAGGCTGGTAATTATGTTTGGCATTTCCTGGGTGTCAGCACATAGTTTTTCTAACCGCTGCATTAAGCTTAGCACTCCACACCGGTAAATCAGAGTGCAGTTCTTGGCTGAGTACTTCCTGACTTTCATAGTCTTTTTCCTCCCCAAGTGATAATACAGTTAGTAGGGATGAAAAACTAGTCTTGTTTCCACACCTTTTAGTCTACAGCAAGCTGCGTGTTCTTGCAGTGTACCTTCTGAGAAGCTTTGAAGAATGAAATGATGGTTAATAGCCTGGCTGCTTGCTGCAGCATCTCTCTCCCCGCTGTCTACCCCTTGTAAATATGCAGAGGCTAAGAAGGATCTGTTGAGCACAGGGAGCAGCCAGGTCTGCCAAGACAACGTCTGTGCTGTTGTATGTGCACCTGCTCCTGTGTGGCTGTGGACTCTTTGGTGTGTTTCTGAGTGGGCACTGACAGGGAGAGATGATGGGACAGGAGCGTGTCACTCAGCAGGTTGAGGCTATCCGCACCTTGACCGAATCATCCACCGGTTGTCATTGGTCTTTATCAGAGATTCCTGACTTGCGTTGCTCAGAAGTAATGTACCTCTGAGTACATCCTAGCCCACAAGTGGCATAATGTCAGCTGTGAGGTGGGGGAGACCTGCTTTAAAAACGCCCTTGAAAATCTATTCCAAAGATGAAGACCAAAACAAAAAAGGGCATTTTCCTTATATTTAAGATGATGAACTTCAGTTTTATCATCATATATGTGAGCTTCTGAGCCAGGACTTCATGTCTTAAAGTCTTTTTTTTTTGCTTTATAGAAATCTTTGCACTAAAACTCTTGCTGCCCATTGCTGACTGGTGTTTGTCAACACCACTAGTCATGGAGAACCCACAGCTTCTTAAGGCAGCCTCCTGAGAACTTCCCTCTCACTAGTATTAACAGGTTTTTGGAATATTTTTCATGAGTGTTTGTTACTGATGTGGCAATACTAGGCAACTTATGTTATAGTCATGCTATAAGGAAGAAATTCAAGGGTTCTTTTATATTTCTAATTCTGGTGTAGCTGACTGAACCTCTAGCTGATCTCACAACAAAGATTTATACTGGATAGGAGATGTCAAAGAGGGAATTTTATGAAGTCACCGAGATTTCCCCAGGCAGCTCTTGCTGTGTCTGCAGCAACTGATAGATGTTATTTCTATGCTTAAATGTGTTGATTATCTCCTGCAGAGGAAAATGCCTGGGGGCATGTTTAATACAAACAGACTCTTCAGACCAGACCAAACTGTGGATGAATAAGATACAAGAAGTAGAAACTGCTCCTGCAAATGCAGAAATCATCACATAGTAGTTTCTTGTACCTAAGTAAGATGATCAGGTGATACTTTGAACCTAGCTTTAAAAAATCTGAGACTGTGGTTCAAAATAAAGTGTCAAGGGCCTATGTATCCACATGACGACCTTGTCCAAGTTCTATTCCAGCAAGACTGGTGCAGTGTCCTCCTGTTCACTAGACGAACCTTCTTCGAGGGAGCTGGACATGCAGGAGGAGGCTGTCCATACCCGCTGCTCCTCATCCTGAATGAAAGTGGAGACTTTTTTTCTCAAGAACGAATGGGTTGAACCCACTTGTATTGCAACTGTTCTATTCTCTTCAAAAGTTTTTGTAGGAAACAGCTGTGTCATTTTGACCATGAGCTGAGAGGTGTGCGTATACTGGTCTCCTGGTTCCTTAGCAGGGAAACGACAAGCCATCATACTGGAACAAGGACTGACTATTTGAATGTCATGCTGATCCCTGTCTCCCACTTCACACAAGGGGAGGAATGAAAGGCTGAATGTGTATCTGCTTCTGCATTGAACTTACATAAGCATAATAAGGATTTGGGTCATGAGCCCCCATGTTAGGTTATGTTACCAAGCTTCTGCTGTTGAAAAGCTGCTGTTTTGCAGAATTTGTCTGTGTGCCCATCTTGGTTGCAGACAGTGCAAGGTAATTCGTAGTTGTCTACCCTCAGGTTTAAGAGGACTGATTTACTCTAATAAGATATGCAGAAGGATATTAACATTCATTCATATAGTTAATGCTGGGTATCTGTTGCATGTTGAGCCGTTATCCTAGAGTATGTTGTGTTTTTTACATCCCTATGCAATAGGGACTGTCCCTGTGTTTATCTGCAAGTGTCTGGAAAAAAAGGACCTTACTTTTTGACTGGAGTTTTAAACTGCTACTAAGTTATAGTTGTGTATGTGCAGTAACAGACAAATATATGTGAGAATTGGTCCTAGTCAATGGTCTGTCAATTGCTGTTAGAAATGTTCCACTTTCGGTTTTGTTTGGTTTTTATTTTTGTTTTTTTTCTTTGTTTTTATTTTAGGTTGCCAACATCTCAGTCCAAATGGTAGCTGCAGAAGATAAGTTGGCAAAGAGGATTCTGGCAAGGAAAAAACATGGCAAATTGAAATTGAAGACAAAAGAAAAGCCGCTGTGGAATTTTCAAAACAAAATAATTCTCTTTACCCTCATACTATTTGTTTTAGGAGTTGTAACCTGGACATTACTGTGGCTCTTCATTGGTGAGTTGCCAAAAGCTCATACCAATTTTGTTTATCACTATCCCTAATAGCACTTTCAGTTGGATTTAAGATCTTACTTGTCCTGAAGGCTCTTTCTAAAGTAAACATGGAACCTAGTTAAATGGAGCCTGGAAGACTTTGGGGTATATTTGTTAAGACTTAGCAGGTAATTATAAGAGCAGGCCCATCTGTTGGCTTTAGGAAGTGTGACTGATTTTTTTAGTGTTATGCAAAACACTTTTTACATGTTTGCTAATTTCATAGACCCAACAGTTTCAGTTTGATTTGTCAGAAATTTTGTCTTCAATTGTGTTTCTTCGTCTGCTGAGGGTCAGGGAAGTCCTTTACTTCCTATGCAGAATAGGTTTAAAGAATTAAAAGACAGTAAAATGCAGATGTGTCTAACTGGGCAGTGAAAGCTATGTTCTCCTCCTCAGACTGTTGATGTAAATTCTGCCCAAGATTCCTTAGGAATGTTCCAGAATCTGGATGTTGATATTGATTTTGGTTCATTTGTATGATGGTATCTTATCTTATTTGTAGTGAACAAGTGCTCAACTAACCTTCATATTGAGGTACTTGTCTAGAATAGTTTTGCTGTGAAAACGTAGTATTCTTTTGGTAGTCATTTTGACTGTAGAGCCAAATAAATTCATTTGGTTTAGAAATTATTCAGAAAAAGCCCCTCATTGTTATTTAAAAAAATACAAAAATAATTGAGGCTATCTTCTTTGTTTCTTACAGTTCAGGCAGAAAACAAAGATGCGTTGTATTTCGTTGGACTCTTTCGTGTTGCCAACATAGAGTTTCTCCCAGAGTATAGGCAGAAGGAGTCGAAAGAATTCCTCTCCATGGCACAGAACGTGCAGCATGTGGTAAGATGAGTGGGCTGCTTGCCTAGCCAAAAGATCAGAACTGTGAACAAAAGGTGTGATTTTTCAGGTGCCATTGAGGTCTACTGTGATGTTTTGGTGTTCTGCTGTCTTTTCTTTTTTTTTTTTGCCCCTCTGAGAGACTGCACAAAGGGTGGTTATCTGGTGGTAGGAAGGAACTGACTGTTTTCCACTTGTCAATCAAATTCAGTTTTGAAAAGTCCTGTTTGATTTTTATGTTTACTAAACATTTACATATTTCCCCCAGAAATTGGGATCTATGAATAGGACTCTAGGAAGGCCCTTCAAAACTTACTTGCTGTTTTTGAGACATAAAACTGATAAAGTCTTTTGCATTTAAATTGATATCTGCTGCCAGTCTTCTGCCTTAAATTGTATGTAATTACCCTAGAACTCTCAGACATATTTACATTTTCATTTTCTTCTGATGTTGGGGATTCAAAAGCCATTATTCTTCCCAAATACCTTGCATCAGTCTAAGCAGAAATAGCACTCTGACGTCGTCGGCAGTTAAGGCTGCTTTGTGATAGGAAGAAAGGGGTTGGAATTCTGGTTAAAAGGGAATTTGAATTTAAAGCCTTTTGGTGTAGGGAGGAAAGAAACGCTAATGGCAGGAAATGCAGCACAGTCTGCATAAGGATTCAATCAGTAGTATGAAAACTGCTAAACAAACAAAAGAATAACAACATCAGATGAAACCAATAGATTTTTGGATAATTGCTAAGTTCTTGTCATCTTACAATATGAACTTGTGTTTCTGCTTTCCAGCTCTATCTTTTTTCCTCTCCCCCTCTAGAAGTTGATCACAAGAGAACCGACAGCAGGCAATCTAGTTTTCCTCACTCTGCATGCTAAAAACTGAAGCGCTTTCAGGCAGGGATGATGGACAACAAGCACAAGTGTCCCTTACCCACTCTCCATGGAGCAGCTCTAACCTGCAGTGAGCCCCATGTCTTGCCCTTGTCCCAGAGCATCCCGAGGTTGTCGCAGGTAGTGCAGAGCAGTGACAGACAGCAGGTGTGAACTGACACTGTCACCATCTCCTCCTTGAATGTGGCTTGGAAATTATTTTTTTTGTCTGTAAACTTTGCTGCAAAACCAGTGGATTTGACATTGCTGAGACTGCTAACTTCAGAAAGTGCCGCCTTTTAGAAGAGACAGCTGACGAGTAAAATCACTGAACAGAATTGCTTCTGTTTGGCTCAAACCAGGACATAATGACATGACTGTTACTAGGAATGTGAGCGAATTAGGATTTTGTTTTTCTCCTTGAAACCCTTTTGTTCATGGCTGCTGGTCCAGACAGCCACAGAGTGCTAGTGGAAGAAGCTCTCAAGATAGATTCCTTTTCCCTTTCGTAGTAACAGTAATACACAAAATGCTTTTTATCCTAATCTGGAGAAAGATTAAGCTACACACATTTTATTTAGGCCCTTAAAATAATCGTTCAAAATTCCTTTCTCAAACACTAAAAATTAGAGACTAATATTAATGTGGGTTTTTTACAGCGTTTGCTTCAAAATAATCCATATTACAATCCCTTGGGCATTAATATTACCCATTAAGCAACAGGACGAGGTCTCAACAGCTTGAGGTACATGCCACCTTGTGGCTTTAGCAGTGTGCATCTGAGCAAGAGGAAGGTAGGTTATTGTCACACTGGTATTATCATGTACATCTAAAGAACTGATGGAATCAGGAGCTAACTTTCCCTAAAGGTAGACCCACAGCATGAAATAGGCATAGTTTTTCCTTCTCCACATATTTTACTCTGTGTGTATCGGAGAAAAATATGTTAATACCAAGCTGATAGTGAAGAAAACAAACACAAACTGAACCAAAACGCAAGAAATTCCATGTAAATGTTAGAAAAATCGATTTACCTGTGAAGGTAGTTAAACTCTGGAGCAGTTGTCCAGAGAGGTTGTGGAGTCTCCATTCTTGGAGCTATTTAACTGGACACAGTCCTGAGGAACCAGGTGTAGTCGACTCTGCTTTGGGCAGAGGGTTTGGACTAGATGCACCTTCCAATCTCAGTCTTTCTGCAATTCTGTGGGAAAAGCTCTGATGTACACCGTTAACTACACCTTTGTGGGAGCACACGAGATGTTATGAGCATGTGCTCATTTCCCGAAGACTGACCTCAAGTTTCAGCATCAGGATAAGGAAGCCCTCTGTGTTCGGGACTTGCTGGGCAAAGAATGTGCACCCTTTTAAAAACTCATTTATTTCGAAAAAACGTTGCTATACATGTCAGCTGGTCGTGGACAGAAGAATCTGGGAATATTGGGCTATTTATGGGTGCATTGGAGAGCTGATCTTTTCATGTCTGCTGCTCTGCCTAGCTTGGCTGATTTATCTCTGGACATGTGTTCATATTGCATATCCTTGGTGGAAAAGACGATGTTCACAGGAAAGCCTAGGACATCTTGAGGTGTGGCTGATTTTCAGAAATGCTAAATATTAACACTTTCTCTTTCAGATGAACTTGGTCTACACAACATCCTCATTCTCCAAATTTTATAAGCAGTCCACAGTTTCAGAAGTCAGGTAAACCCATGGTTAATGTAATTGTATTTCTGCTGAGTAGTATATAATGTAATGAACCCACAAAAGAAGCCTATTTTTGGTGGTTACAATTTCTTCTCTTTTCTATGTACTTGTACTGATAACAAAATACATTTAAAACCTGTATCAATTCATTTCACCCAAGTAAGGGCGAACTAAAGTCATATAAGCAGTACTTGTCTGTCAGGAATGTAATTCAAGGTAAACAGAAATAATGTCCCTAAAGAGATTTAATGATACTTTGGCTGATAGGCCGTGCAGAGGTTTAGCCACTTATACGTGTGGTGAAAGCACAACTCTGTATTATTAACTTAGTCACACATTTCATAAGTAATGTTATGGGTGTAACACTATTTAGGAGGAAATCTCTATATTGCAATCAAGTACACTGACTCTAGTATTATGCATGCAATCAATGCTAGAGGATTAGTTATTTCAATCCTCTTGAACCAAATACAGTTTTGGTTCAGGAATGGGAGACTATAGGACACATTTGACTTAAAGATCTTTCTTCCACTAGAATGTAAAGATTGAGGTGACTATATACAGCCTCTAGTGTGTTACCCAGTCTAGGAATCGTTTCTTACGTACTGCAGTGCACAGTACAGCGTGAGATGCATAGCAATGCAGAATTCTTAATTTCTATAGATGATAACCCTTCCATTTCTGTTTTGATCTTTAGGAGATAATCCATCTCTAATTCAAGGAGATGATATTATGATTTCTATAGATCTCAAAATTCAGGAGCCCCCAGGGAATCAGCCTAGTGAAGTTCCCTAACTGGGTGTGAAGAAGGAGTTTTGGAGGTTTTTTTGGTTTGTCTTTAAGAGAAAAAAGTACATTCAGTGTATTGAAGTATAAGAAAAGATAGAAATGATCCATACGCTTCTAAATTTGTACTTCAGGAAAATTTCAGCAGGATGATGATCCTTGGGACCTTTTTATTTCAGTAACAACAACAACGGAGGCCTCCTTATTCATTTCTGGATCGTATTTGTGGTACCACAGGCGAAAGGCCAAGTGCTATGTGAGGACTGTGTGGCTGCCATCTTGAAGGATTCCATTCAGACAAGTATCATTAACCGGACCTCGGTGGGAAGTCTTCAGGGCCTTGCGGTTGACATGGACTCCATTGTACTAAGTGGTTAGTGTTAGCGCGTACCCATATCCTTGAGAAAATGCTTAATTAAGCAGATATTTATATCTTGGGGTTGCAAATTCTATGAATAAACCAAAATCTTTATGCAGCATCTTCAGCTTCTAATATTAAAATTATTCTAGGAATGAGAGGTTTGAGATCAAATCAAGTTATAAAGTATCCCTGTCAACACAGATTGCAAATCTTCCTTTACTTGGAGTGCTTATGCTTAAATTCAGAAGCTAAGCCACCTCGTAGCTAGCTCAGACTTAGGTTAGTCTGCGGCTTTAAAAGTATAAAATGATGAAGGGTTAATGTTTCCACATGGATCAAACTTTAGCCCCTTCATTGAAAATGAGATGTGTATCATGCCTTTATAAAGACTAAGAAATGGATTATAAAGCTGCCCCTTCATTAAACAACTCCTCTGCCATTCCTGTCCTGGGAAGAAATTAGCAATGTAGGATTCAAGTATTTGTGTAAAGTGATTAGCTACACATTGTTGTATGATTTTTCATCTCTGTGAAAAAAGACGGAACAAGCTTCATTTCAAAAACTCTGTCCAGCCAAAAGCTGAAAAAGACTGTGGCCAAGGGTGAGAAAATGACCTCTTGTGTACCTCTGTCTCAGTCCTTCAATTAAATGTGACTCCTTAATTGACACGCAGTCTCTTCTTGACGCAGGCCCTAAAATGTCTGGGGACATGATACTTCCAAAGTTGCTTGCATAATTTGCGGAAATGAAGGGGATTTAGACAGTGTCTATTGTTGACATAGCTCTTTTGTTCTGTGTATTTAATGTTATGATTAAAGAACAATGATTGAATTAAACCCTGAAATCTGGATTTTGGATAAATGAGAAGACTCACACAACTCTTTTTCTGTGCAGCAGGTCTTCGGTCAGATTATTGGTCAACAACGGGAACAGGTAATTCACCATTTTGGTAGCTTCCTGGCAGAAAAAAGGTGGAGAACAAAGCTTGATGTTCACATCTTAGACTCAAAGATACTGTTCAGTGCTAATTTAAGAAGGTTAAATTCAACCTTGGCATTTATGGCCTGAGTTGCTATAAGAGTGACCAAGGGTCCGAAACTATCTGTCCTTAGACTGGCAAATTTTTCAGATGTGCCTGGTAGCATAGTAGGAAACAAACTCAGTCAGTTCGTTGCTTACTATTCACTCTGTTGAAGACAAGATTAAGCTTTTCTAAACTGGACAATAATGAATTAAAATTTATTTATTGGCTTTTGAGATAAACAGTAGCACTGCTTTTATCCATCCTTTATCCTCCTTTACTACCTTTTCTCCAAAGTTAATGATGAGTTTTTCTAACTCATCTAGCCCTAACTGATATTAGTTAAGTGGTTCAGTTTTGCCGGGATTATCCAAGACGCTACTTATATACTTGCTTGGTTTCATGTTTTAAGAATTCTTTGGCAGTGTGCAGAGACTTAAAAAGTAGTTTAAAAGTACAGCACATCTATGTTCACTAGTATGTGGAGTAGGTATCCAGAAAAAAAGTGCTGCTAGGCTAAGCAAAGTTATGTTAAACACCTTTGGTACAGGAACCTTATAAGTCTCTGTTGGGCCAGCAGCTGTCAATCATGTATGGATGCCTTCCGTGTTCCTTGACACAGTCTTACTTTTTAACTTGTTAAGTTTCACCATTTCAGTCCTTACTTTATACCTTTCTGTGTCTGTATCTGTCTTTTCTGAGACGTTAACTTGTACTATCTCAGCAATTATATCATAGAATCATAGAATGACCTAGGCTGGAAAGGACCTTAGAGATCATTTTAATCCAGTCTCCCTGTCTCCAGGGTCGCCACCTTGGCAACACATGGGGACTAAATGGGAATCAAACCCGCGACCTTGGCGTTGTTAGCACCACATTCATATGTGTCTTTGTGATTTCCTCTTCTGTTATCTTCCAAGGTTTTAGCTTGCATACTTTCTAAAAATGTAACAATTACTTTTTCCACTGCAGCCAAGTCAAGGTCTCCTAGTGTTGCTGTCCACAGATGGACTTTGGGTCACAGACCATGGGCTATGGTTGGCAATGTTTAGATTGATATCAACCTACAATTTCTCAAAATTCAAGTCAAGTTTACTGCGGCATTCATCTACCCAAAATCTTTTCTGACTTAAACTGCAAAACATAGCAATTTTGGCCTTTGTTACATCTCCTCATGTGCATTTTATATAAAAGAATTTTGTGTATTGATGCTTACTCGCATAGCAATTTCATTTCCCAGTTCAGTGTTCCAAGGTAGAGGAATTACTGCAGTCGAATTTTGTGTTTTAATTTATACCAGAGTCCAGTCCATAAAAGAGAAGAAAACAAATATTGATGCTAAGGCCTTGTAAGGACTTGTATAGTATCATTCACACAAAAGGAGAAGGATGACTTGCCATATTCTGGATGTCTTTCAGAGATTTACAGTGTAGTCGACCACACGGGGCAACTGGTGGAAGCATAGTGCTGGTATGCAATGAAGTTGCAGGGGAACAACATGGATTGACACAGCACCTGAGAAAGTCTTACATCGGTGCAATTTTGTTTGTTGCAGTACCTTAAGTCTGTCTGCTTAGGACTGTAGAATTATGGTGCAGAGGTGAAAGCGTTAATGCAGCAGCATATGAGGAGGGTGCGTCACCTGGTTGTATTTTGAGAACAGTGGAGTTACTTTGGCATAAAGATGCATCTGGTTATTAGTTGAGGCGCAGCACTGGAGTGCAGATTTATTGAGGAATGTATTGAAGAAGGGACTTTGAGATACTCAGCTGACGTGAGTGACTTGCGTTGCCATTCTGCCTGGCTATGCAGGGTCTGTTTCGGTAAAGACCGTAACCAGCTTTGGTTTCAAGTTGTTATGCGTGCGTTACTTCAAGGTCCAGAGCTAGCTCTGAATTCTCTGCACCATGTTTCACAGCAGCAGCGAGCTAGTCACATTCTTAACTGCTTAGTAGAAATAATGGCTGTCATTTAATTCTAAAGATTATGATCAAAGCTAGCTTTGTTAAGGGTGAGTAAGTAAGCACAAGTAACTATTATAAAAATAATATTATTGGAAAGAGATAAGAACAAGAAGGAATGAGGAAGAACAATGGCTCAACCAAAGCTTTAAATAGTTTTAACCGTTATTCAGTTGAACGGTATGTGACCCTTACAGATTGTTTATGAACATTCATAGCATTAGTTTCAAGGTTGTAAATTAGAAGTGGAAGTCAGACAAAGCCTGCCACTTCCTGGCTTGATTAGCCACTGGTTAAAAAGCCAACATTTAATCTGAGTCAAGAGTTGATAGTGAAATTTCACTGTGTTCTAGTTGGTTTTCCATAAGAGTAACTATTTCAGGACTTGTCTTTTTAATAGGTGGAAATTAATGCAAATATTTGTTTTGAATCATATTCTCCCTAATTTGCATTTCCCCCTTCTCATCTCTCAAAGAGCTATGTTAAGAATTTTAGATATGACCAAACAAAAAAATCCCTAATCTTTTTTCTGAATGGAAGTTGTAATATTGAATGGAAATATGTTTGACCTGAAAGCCATGATTGGTTTAGCTTAGTCAGAAAATTGGATGCAAGTAGGGTAATTTTCTGGAGATTGACACAGCTTTATTCTGCCTTTTTTTTTTTTTTTAGGAAAAAAAAATTGTTTTGTAGGTTAGGCTGTATTATTTATATTTCATGGTACTTTAGTTTCTAGAAGTTTTCAGGACTTGATAGGACAAATCACTGGCCTGAGTTAATTTTGACCCTGCTTTGAGCAGAGTGTTTAACAAGAAAGGTCTCGGCATCCCCGAATGAACTAGTGAATCTGAATTTACTGGTAGCACTTACAGCTCATGTCACAATAAAATATTGAGAAGCCTGATGTTAGAAACAATAATCTAAAAAATCCCAGAGTAATCCAAAATTATAGCTTGAGTTTGGTTTAATTTTGTTTGTTATAAATATCCCAATATATGTAGGGGTGAATCGTTGATTTTTGTCTTGATATACATTTCCCAGTGAATGATTGTTTGATTATTGCCTTCAAATACCTGCAGGAAGGCTGGAGAGGGACTTTTTACAAGGGCATCCTGTGATAAGATAAGGGGAAATGAATTTAAATTCAAGTAGAATAGGTTTAGATTGGATCTGAGGAAGAAATTCTTCAGTACAAGGGTGGCAACAGTCTGGAATAAATTGCCCAGAGAGGTTGTGGGTGCTCCCTCCCTGGAGATGTTCAAGCCCAGATTGGATGACACCTTGAGCAACCTGCTCTTGTTAAGGGCATCCCTGCCCATGGCATGGAGGTTGGATTAGATGATCTCTGAGGTCCCTGCCAACTTAGGCCATTCTGTGATTTAAGTGTTTTCCTCTCTGGGGGCTCTATCGACCTTTGCTAACTGCAAATACCTGTTGTAAAAAATGGCTTTTGTGCAAATACCCTACAGGGACTTATTTAAAGCACTGTTCTCAATGTTCTGTTGTTTTATGATCAGACTTTTCCTTGACCACAGGCATGAAACTAAGATGTAAATGAAGAGTGGCATTACTACGTCATCTTCATGTTTAGCTAGGCTTTCCTATGTTGCTTTAGTTAAAAATTTATTTTCAGGATTTCTTTTTGTTTTGGTGTTCCATGAGGATTTAATGGTTTTGTAGTCAGTGTCCAGTGCTGACAATGTGACATTTCCACAGGAAAAAATTGTATGGATGATCTCTACGCTGATCGCCTACATGAGCACTTTCCTCTGAATATTCATGCTACCTCAGGGGGAACAATCTGCTATTTTAAACTGATTGCCTCGGTGGGCCATCTTATTCGCCTTTCAATAGTATCCCTTCAGATTGAAGCAGACAACTGCATTACTGACTCGCTAACCATTTATGACTCTCTGATGCCAATCAAGCATAAGATACTGTACAGGTGAGTATCAATTTTCATTGACAATTAATTGGCAATCTTTTTTAAAAAATTTTTTCCCCTGTAGATTGTGGTTATGATGGACTTTGTTTTGTTTTGTTAGAAATACTCTGATCTTCACGGATTATGCACAGAACACCTAGCAAAATACTTCTTTACTTTTACTTAAAAAAATAAAATTGATCTTACTAATAAAAAACCCAAAGAGTTAAATATGCTTTAAATTCTTCTTTGTTACTCAGCTGGAGTGCATCTTCACCTAACTGCAAAACTATAAGTTCACATATTACTAAGTGGCATTTTCTGTTTCATATCAGGAAACAGATACTAACTAAAAGAGAACATCAAAATTTCCTCCCCTAAACAAGCTCTTCTTCCACATGAAGATTAGTGCTTTTGTGATTTTTTTTTGCTCTTGTGATTCTTTGGATGCTTACCGCCACTCACCAGTTCAGTAGTTTTTTTGAGCTGCAGTATTTAAGTAGTTTAGCTATTAAAATCTGGAGTCGAAAGTCTGATGGGCTGAGGGGTGCGGACTATTTTATGTATTTAATTCCCCCTCCTCCCTTTCTAATGATCCAGTAGGCTTCTTTTGTTTGACATTCCTGGTAACTAGTTCCATAGGGTTCTATCACACCAAAAGGTGAAGACATCACCTCCATCAAGTAGATGAAGAGCTCAGTGTTTTGATCCCTTTTCTCAGATGATTTATGTATGAGGCTCATAAAAAGCACTGGATTTTCACTCATCTTTGAGCCCTGTCCTCTAATCTGAATTACTCTCTGACTGGTCTATAAGATAGCAGATGGTGTTTACACACTTAGTAGTATCTGTAGAGGACTGTTGATATATGCTAGGTAATGCATATGGAAAGCAACTTTTTTTTTTTTTTAATGAGACTAGTTGATTGACTCAGGTTTTTCGTTTTGGACTTGAAGAATAACTTGCTTGACTTTCTCATTCCCTAACCCCAAGATAAATCTGTCAGCCTAATAAAATACTTCTTCCCTTTCTTCAAGCATTTCTCTACTATTGGCTTCATTTCTGCTTAGAGGTCTGAAAGTCAGTATTACCTTCTAGAGCTCAGCATTTTATCTTCCTTGTCATGTTTGCAATTTATTCTGTTTTTGTAAGAAGTGGCTTTCCAGTACTGAGTTTCTAACTGGATTTTTAACCGATACTTTTGTGTTCAAGAGCATGGAGTTTTTACTGAGCTTTGAAGTAGGTAAACTCTGAACCAGTGGAAAATTTATGCACAGAATAAGAGCAATGGGTTGGGTTTCGGTGAGGGAGGGTGGGGCGGGCTGGGGTGTTAGTATTTATTTGTTTGCTTACCAATTGCCTACATACCTACTCTCCTTTTTTCTTCTCCCTCAGAGCTTGTGAACCAGCTGATTCATTGGTGTCACTTGTGTCCACAAATAACCTAATGCTGGTAACGTTTAAGGCAGCACAAATAAAAGAGCGGAAGGAATTCCATGGCTATTTTGAGGTCATTACACAAGAAAGTAGGTTTGCTTTGTGTTTAGAAATGTGTTTATCATACTGTTTCTGTCTAAGGTCCCAAAGCAGATGCCATGTTCCTGGCTATGAATAAGCGACTCTTTTATCTTGGTTTCTTTTTTCCTATAAGCCTGTCTGTCCTCTTCGTCTCGTCTGCGTTACTAAGTGTCTGCCTTCTTGAGCAATTTAATCTCTGTGTGCTAGCTGTTCTTAAGTGCAATGTGAAGGTAGAAGGCTGAAGCCTGCACCGACATTTCAGTTGGTCAGGATCTCAGTGTTGCCAGTAGATGGAGTTGTTATTCCAGGTGTACCACTGCTCTCGTTTCTCTCCTGATTTGGGACTCGGTGATGATCATAGAATCATAGAATGGCCTAAGCTGGAAGGGACCTTAGAGATCGTTAAAGGTGGAAGAAATTCAGCACTGAAAACCACTTTCAGAAAACAAAACTTCAGTAGCTTTGTCTGTGTTTTCCATCGGTAGGGAAAACTCATTAACACAAAGGAGTCAGTTATGTTTGTGCATCCACTCCATCATCTGCTTTTTATTGCTGTATGCTTTAAGAGGTAATTAGATCATAATCACAAATAGTACAAGGAACATCAGGCCAGTAGGACAAGTTGGAAAATCTAACACAATCCAGTGCAAGAAAATTCAAGCATCTCAGAAATATTCTGCATACTTTCTACGTTGACAGTAATTAGGCATTAATTAAGCATCATAAAACCTTACGATGAGTAAATTCAAAATCAGGGCTGTTATTTTCATTTATTTGGTAGATTTAAACTCAGGGCTGGGTTTTCCTTGGTTTTTTTGTTTGTTGTTTGGGGTTTTTTTTGTGTGTGTGTGTGCGTCTGTTCTGTTTTTAATGATTTCTCTAAATCCATTGAACAGTCATAAAAGAAAGTTTTGGCTTCCAGGAGATTGATTAGATCAGCACATTGTCCATTTCTAACTGGCTGCGTTTTAAACCTAGAGATCCTCACACACTGTTGGATCGTAGGTATATTGACATGCAAAATTATTCGCTGAGACTTGTATGCAGAACTGTTTTCAATGAAATAAACATTACTAAAAGTCCATAATATTTTCTTCCAGTCCTGCAGAGTGCAAGCATTCCTAGACTTCTACATCCCTTGTCTGTCTGCACCACTGGGAAGGGTATCTTTTCAAAACTTGAACCTAGATAAATATAATTTCTAAGCTGCCCTGCTTTGCACTGCAGAAGAATTCTGATAAATTTGGGTGCTTAGCCCACTGAATAGCTTTGCCGGAAGTATATTAAGGTTTACCAACGGTTGCCTCCTTTTTTTCCTTAGGGTGTGGAAAAGCAATAGTGACAAAAGAGAAAATTGGCTATGAAGGGACAATCACGAGTCCTTATTACCCGAGCTATTATCCTCCAAAATGTCTTTGTGCATGGAACTTCCAGGTAACATGCATCTCTCTCTCTTAGGCACTGTTGTGTGTTTTGGGCACACAGAACCTGTAAGTATAGAAGAAAATTGTCTAGGGATTAACCTGCATCCTTACAGATGTGGTAGTTTGCTGAACTGACAGAGCTGACTAGCTGGCTGTGCTCAGATGTGGTTTTTCTGTTCTTTTTTTGCTGTTTGTTTTTTTTTCTTTTTTTCTGTGTACTTATTCTTGACAAAGAGAACAGAGTTCCTAAGCCATCCTATTAAAAAGGTGAAAAGCTGAGATAAATGTTGGTGTTTACCCTTCAGAATTACTTCATGGCAGAGAATGTAAGATTTTACTGGTTTTAATTTCCTTCTTCCCAGCCCCTCAAACTTGGAAAAAACCTACATACAAAAGACTCTTCTAACCTGCTTACTACTGCTGCTCTCTAGTCTCTATTATGAGTCTATTTTGTTGCACTTAATAAATTGAATTTTTGTCTTTTAAGATGGTCTGCCATAGCAGCAGAATTCCACAGACTTTTTTCTTCCTATCCATCTCTTCATCTTTTCAGGCACTTTCCTGAAAGCAAATGATGGAAAGTTTAGATCAGTTTAAAATAGTTTTGTAATGCCTTGTCTAATGTCATTAATATTCCCTATTAATGTTGTTAAAATATGGTCTTTGACTTATGGTTTGCCCTTCAGTGTTTTCCTCTCTAAAAAATATGGCAGTGGATATGATGATCTCCACTGTTTACTTGCCCTTCTGCTTATGCTACTCATGTCTGGTTAAGATAGTGGTTGCCCATGTTGAATGCCCCCAATCCAAATGAAGTCTAGCTAGGCTCCTCCTCTAGAAATTCCTTTTTTTGCTAAATTTTAGGTCTTCAATTTACCCTAGACTTATGAGGTAAAAGTTTCTGAACACTTAACATAGGCAACCAAGACTTACTTCTCAAAACAGTTTAATCTACTGCAGGGTAGGAAGGCACTGCAGAGG